AACTGGGAGTGAAATCAGGTCCTGTTTGCCTTGTAATGTCCACTGAAGCTGTCTCTGTCAAAGATTTGTCCTGCTCAATGCCTTTGTCCTCCTCCTCAGATGATTGCTCCCATTCCCCCAGCATTTATCACATCAATATTTTGCTTGGTCCAATTGTGCAGCAGCACAAGATGGTGCAGTACATACTGTCTGAATTATATTGCAGGGTGCCTCCCAGACCACTCCAAGCTGTGGAACTGGGCCTTCCCCAGTCAATAGTCTGCTCTACCATAGCCTAGGTCACAACAGCTTGTTGAATGTTCCACATCAGCTGAGTGACTGGCACATCAGATCCAAAAGGGAGTGACTACTCTACTCTGTCCACCTTCTCATCCCAAACCCACCTTCCATTGCATTCACTCGAATCCATACTTTAATTGTCCATTGCAATACATTGCCATACTTCCATGGTTCATGATACAGCAATGTTGCCCTCAACCCTCATCACCCTTGGAAGTTACACAAGTGATGGGGTGCTTTTGGACAGTATTCACCTCCTTATAAGTTATTGTTGTTAACTCCTGCCTCATAGAGATGGCAATGTCAGTGCGTGGTACAATCCGCCTTTGAGCAACATTTGTTACATAAGCGCGTTCACTTCTGTTGCATTGCATATGTACAAAGAAATGTTTGTAAATGAAATGTAGCTGGAGTTTACAAATCCATGCTTCATGTATTTATCCCTTCAATATCCTAACATTCAGAGATGTGGACCCTGTACTTTCAACCATCAAAGTGACACTGATTCAACCCAGCACATCTAGAGAATGACAAATGATGGTAGGGAATGCAGCTTGCAGAGGATACAATAGGAACCAGACCCCATCTAGTCGACCACACACCACCACTCTGAGCATTCGTTTTATCCCACACACTCTCAACAGTCTATTTCCAATTGCAGCCCCAGCTGGAAACCCACCACATTGGCTCCAGCTGTCCTTTCAGCCCTCCTGAACCTGAAAATCTCATGTTAACTGTGCCCACCTTGCTCCTCTATATCCCTCCACCATGTAGTCCATGGTCATGGTCACTCCCAATAATTCCCCTTCCCATAGCTTACCATTCCCTCCGATTTTCCTCACATCTCCTCTTAACTTTTTGCACCTTCCCTTAAATCTAACCCCTGATTATTGATCCCTCCAACAAGGGGACAAGTTTCTTCCTGTCTACACTGTCCATGCTACTCATAATTTCATGCATCTCAATCACATATCCTCTCCATCTACTCCGTTCCAAGGAAAACAACCCCAGCCTATCCAATCTCTCTTCGTAACTAAAAGTCTCCAGCCAAGGCAACATCCTCGTAAATCTCCTCTTACCTTCTCCAGTGTAAACACATGTTTGATATCTGGGTCCTCCCCATCCCAGAAAGATTCCTACGGACAATGATGACAAACAACTTATCTGTGCGTCTGCACAAAATAGCATGTCAATATGGCATTACTGATAGCCTTTTGCCCTGGCTGAAATACCAATGAGCTAACAATTGTGACATGGCAATGCAAGGCAGGGCAGAGATGCTACAAGCGTCCAGGCAGGCACTAAGTGAGTGTTGAGGGGAGATGAGGTTCATCCTGGGTCTAATCTGTGAGCTTGGAATGCATGTCCTTGCAACAACCTTTCAAATGCTCGTCACTGTTGCACTCTGCTATGTAAATCTGCACCTTCTAACTGGTGGATCGGAGAAATGTCATGAGGAGTTGGCACATGCTGAATGCCAATGTCCGTGGATGAGGGATGTGCACAGTTGGTTCCCATGGATCGTGACTGAGTTGCCATTTGGTGCTGATCAGCATGGAGGCAGTACACATGACCATTTGTAAAACATTTCTGGTTGCCCATTGGTTAGACACAGAAATGTGTTAGAAGTCAAGTTGAGGGGTGACATTGGAGTTGGCATTATCAATACCCGGGCTGCTTTGAACAGAGATAAATTCAGTTCTCATCAGTTTGATTTTGTGCATGAGCACACATGCTCCATTTAGCGATGCTGTTGGCTGCGAACGTAATTGTAAACAAAAGTGTGTTGGACAAAGGTCAATCCAGATGAAGAGCGTATCATGTTTGCTTATGACTCCTAGTTGGGAGGTAGGTGGATTAAGAGACCTGTGAAACAGGGTGCTCTTAATACTGCCATCTGCCCTTGTTTTTGAGGCACATCCCCAAGCTCCCTGCGGGCCCACCTCATCACCCATCCCACCATCACTCACCATTGTCTGGGTATTCCTCAAAATTGAGGCCTTGGTGGGTGTAATATCAGCAGCACCCATTGCCTCAGCGGTGGCGCTGCTGAGCACTGCTGAAGAACTTGCTGGTCTCTGATGATGCCTCAGGGCCTTGATCCTGGGAACAGACCCAACACTGGCCTGTCAACTGCCTGAATGGCACAAGATGAAGCTATTACATCCAGCAGGTTCTGCCCTAAGGATTGAATTTACCAGAAATCAACCTAAGGGTCAGTTTTGGAGACTTTTATGGAAGACTTCTCCCTGTGAAGACTCATGGCATCATCTGAGACTCACCTCATTAACCATGCCCCATGCCGCTGTAGTTCAAACAATTCTCCCACTCACCATAAGCAAAGGTTCTCACCACTGCTGGGATCCCTGATGCCAGCGCCATTTTTGAAACCCAGCCCTGCACCGTTCATACATTGGCAGTCGGGTGATGCCTTTTACCATTCACATAGTGGGACAGCAACCTTCAAACCAATGCTTCACAGTGCAAGTAGGTGGCATGGCTGACTACTCACTGCACATTCTTACATCCATCAATGTGTGAGCACTTAGCCAAGCACATGGAATCGAACCCTTTCATAAAGCCTTCCTGTGCCTCTTGGTCACCCAGAGGGGATCTTCAGCCGTGACTTCTTCTTGGGGAGGCCGTTCTAGCTCTTCTGGAGCTTGCTGCAGGTCTTCAACTTGCTAGCGCATGTGTTCCTCCTCTATTTTTCTACACCTTCATGGCATCACAGCAACAGTGACAATAACCCCCTGATGCACCTGGATCCATTGGTCACATTTGTAATGAAGCTTTGTTCAGCGGAGAAACAGAACATATCCTTTGCAATGATATTTGCATCCCTTACAAATGGTGGCTTAACATAATCCTATGCATTGAGACCTAGAGCAGTTCAGCAAAGAGAGAATTGGAATGCCCCCATAATGCATTTTGACAATAGACCTTATTCTGATGAATACAGCACCAGTCATGTTGCAAACATGTAGGAGGAGGCGGTAAGTGCTGCAAGATTACTGAGACCTTGCGCTCCCAGACTGACAAAACCCAAGAAAGGCATCATTGCATGTCAGAGCATATTGCAGAATACTTACCTTCAAGGCGAGGGAGAATTGGTTCTGTGCCCCTGAACCACTTCTGAGATCTTACAGTATCATTGTGCTTTGTGGCCCTCAACTGTCAATTTTCAGGTCACCTGGTAGTACTTCTGCCTCACAGAAGTCTGCTATGACCAATGACATGGTTAAGATTGTTTGTGACCAGCATTCGCATCCCACAGAGATGGACACTATCACATGCACAATGTTCTGAATTCTACATGGTGGCTCAGTGGTTAGCACTTCTGCCTCACAGTACCAGGGACATAGGTTCAATTCAAGCCTTGGGTGGCTCTGTGTGGAATTTGCATGTTCTCCCTGTGTCTGCATGGGTCCCCTTTGGGTGTTCTGGTTTCCTTCCACAGTCCAAAGATGTGCAGGTTAGGTGAATTTGCCGTGCTAAATTGCCCCGTAGAATGCAGGCTAGGTTTGGTAACTATAGTAAATATGGGGATAGGGTACAGTGCTCTTCAGAGGGTTAGCGCAGAGTTAATGGGCCAAATGGCATCTATCTGCACTGTAGGGATTCTATGATATATGCAATTACCTCTTGGACGGCCTCCTATTGTTCACAAGTAAAGCTTGTGTGTTGGAACAGGAAAAACCAGATTTCACCTGAGTGTGACTGCAGCCATTTTTTATTTGCAGTTCACATTTAGGACTCGAGCCAATATGGCAGGAGAAAAGATGTTGCAGTTGGCACAGTGAATCATCCCAAGCTCAGCTTGGTAATTAAAGGTTTCCTCCGAACCTTCACGTTCCTTTCTTTCCAGCAATCCCTGGTCAGCTCATCACAACCTGATCCACCCGCACATTTCCACACACCACCTATAATCACAACTCTCATCCTTCCTTTTGGAAGGCCATCCCCATCCAGTCTTATCCTGCCCACCATTGTAATACACAGTCCTTCCATCAAGGCCACAGCGATGGTGACTAACCAGTAATCCTAAATTCTGCAGTAAACTATTTCCTCGCGCTATCACCTCCCCCACTTGTCAAATTTATAACTTCCCCACCCTGTCCCTATGCATCCCAGGTTGGTAACTTCCATCCCCATCATTGAATTTTCCAACTTCCCTACCACATCAGTGGTCTGATAACTTCTCTTAAGTTCTATTCTGCTCACGCCAACATGGTCCATCCCATTAATTGACATGGCCAGACTGGTGCGTGCCTGGTGCGTGCCCAGACTGACAGTGCCCCATTCTATACTGAGTACTGTACTGAGATGGACCCCCTCACCCTGACAACCTCAAGCCGATGACTGACCATGAACTGATATCAGATGCTGACAGCGACTATATTGACTGTATTGGGTCTTCTTGACTGAAGACAGCCCCCTTGACTTGATTGAGGACCATTCCCCTTTGACTTTGAGACATGGGCATTTAGTTGACACACATGCTGTGTACCAAGTGGACTGCTGATAAATGCTACAGGCGTGAGATGAATATAGCTTAATGCCATACAGCAACATGTCTACCCTCTTGACTGATGACTACTGACATCCATGACAGGATTCCAGACTTTGTGTCTGTGCTAAGCAGCATGGCAAGACAAAAATATTATGAGCCAAGACAGTATGTAAGCAATACAGTCAAGAAGCTTAATTGAAAGGCAGAAATTAATTTTATTTGGTAAAATCCTGAAGTCATAAAATTGATGTTGAGATTGCAAAAAATAGCATCTGCTTGGTCACAAAGGGTCACTTGATTAAATTTGCTGCCTTTTTTTTAGTTCTATCAGGTGTAGATGATTAAATATATACAATTGGGTAGATCTTTTGTCAGAACATAATGAAGGCAAGTGGTTCAAGGTTTGTAATGGCATTGGAGACTTGGCACATAAACACACAAGGACATGTATGGTAAGTCATTAGCGAGTGGAACAGAAGCAAATGAGATAATTACAGCAGTCAAAAAATATTTGTAGCTTGCTTCCTGATCTGCTGGCTCATTGAATAAATGTTGATATCTGAACTTTTCAGATGGTCAGATTTGATTATAATGGAGGTAACTGCTATTGAAAGAAACTTCATTGCAGCCATCTCCAGTCAAAAGTGTACAAAATATAATTGGCTCAATTCAAACAATACAACGTCAATCTCCTGCTGAGACAAACATAACAAATAAAAGAGTGAAATTTTGTATCATATTTCTTGATCATATTATTCTTGATACCCAAGAAGAATATAGATATATTGGACATGATTTTGGGAGGAAAAAAAACTAGCAATAAAAATAAATATTTACACAAATATAGATGCTGCTACACAATTTGATTTGTACACTAGCTGCAGTGATGACTTAATCTACAATTACAGTTTTGCAGTTTCATAGCTACAACCACCATACATTGCACAAGAAAATATGTCATGCAGAGAAGGCACCTTGTTATTTACAGAATGCAGTACAAAAAATTAAAGGCGAGCTGTAAAAAAATGCTAACCATTATTAAATGTATGTACATATACTATCATTACTTCTCATTTAGTTGGTCACTAATGTCCGCTTTCGATATGAGGTGAAATGTCCCATGATTGCAGTCTCCTTGTCAGATAGTTGAATGATTCTGTTCTCCTTTATTCAGCCTATTTCGGATTTCCAGGCTACAATTTCTGTTCCTGCATAGGGTGGCTGAGTGGTCCCCATCAAAACAAGAGAGAGCAGTTTGAGGGCACTAATACCCTGCAGTTGAATCTGACTTCTTCACTGGGTCGGTAAGATGGTCCATGGCACATTCTGTTTACAGCTGATAAAAACAAGATATTATAATTCAACAGAAATAATGAAATGTTCAAACAATTCAACTGGAGAGCTTTCTGCCTTGAAAATATTGCAGCATAGCTGTGGAACACAGACACAGGAGAAGGTTAAAACATCAGAAATTGTTGGTAAACCTCAGCAGATCTCGCAGCATCTGTGGAGAGAAAGCAGAGTTAATGTTTTGGGTCGAGTGACCCTTCTTCAGAACTTCTCCCGTTTCTCCTCGAAGAACTCCCAGTTCTGAAGAAATGTCACTGGATCTGAAATATTGACTCTGCTTTCTCGTCACAGATGCTGCCAGGCCTGCTGAGGTTTTCCAGCAATTTCTGATTTTCAACTTTTCTTAATCATCTTGCAAGCTTCTTAGTTTAGCTACCATTTGAGGTTAAGAGGAGAGAATTTTAATTCTCAGAAAGTGAGCATGGAACTAGGAACCCGGTCCCATCCACTGAGTGGAATTTTTCCCTTCAAAGGCCAGCAGGATCCTTTAAATATGCTCATCAGGTCCAGATGACACTCTTGGATACGACACTCATTCCAATATCGGGAAGAATCTGGCACTAAACTCTTTGGGAAGAGGAACAAACAGAGAGGAAAACCCTTGCATTAAGTTCATTGATTTCCTTTGAGGGGTCCCTGTTGGAAGTGTAAGCTCTTTATCTCCTCTCCTCTATTTGTCTAATAATCCTTCAGTTGGAACATGTTTTAATATAAAATGTTTGCTCAATAATAAAATTTACAGCCAGGAAACAGGCCACTGAATGCAAATATATCAATGTTTATGCTTGCATAAGAGTCTGCCATGTCATTTCACTTAATCCATCAACATACCTTTCTATTCTTCTTAATGTGTTTATCTAGTCTTTGCTCATCTAGTATTAACATCTAGAATCCTAGCATCATTCACTAGAGACCTCAACTACTCCTCCTTGTTACAGGTCCCACATTCTAAACACGCACTCAATAAAGTGGTTTCCTTGAATTTCTTTAGGGTTTATTAACAACTATTTTCTATTTATGGTCTCTAGTTTTACATTGTCTTCTCTACTTCAATTTTATCAAACTGCTTCATAATTTTAAAGATTTCCATTAAGTCATCTCTCAAACTCCTGTTTTCTGGAGAAAGAACACTAAATTGTTCAAACTTTCCTGATTGTTATAATCTCTCAATTCCAGCATCATTCTTGTAAATCTTTGTTACACCTTCTCCGGTCGTTCTACAAACTTCCTATAAAATGGAGATCATTGTCTGCATTACCCCAAGCGTGGTCTAACTCAGGTTCTATACAAATTTAAACCAATTTTCTGTTCCTCAATTCCATTCCTCCAGAAATAAATAGCAGAGCTTTGGTCGCTGTTGCTCATGGTTAGGTATGGGTGATGGGAAGGAAAATCTAACGTAAAATCAACAAAAAATTCAGTTACCCCGATTAAAAGTACATAAGGGATTAATCAGAATCTGATGGTATATGCACTTCATCAGATACTCTTAGATAAAGAGCAATTTATCATGGGAACATACCTCCAAGCAAGCGGTTGTAGAGATAAATAATTCTAACATATTCTACGCTACACCTTGACTCTCACTGAGAAATAAAAAATTGCAGCTATTGGAATTTGGAACAATAAGAATGCATTCAATAAATTCGACAAAAAAAGAACATAGAAAGGTTTGACAATTGAGAGGCAACAAACATCATGTGAAAGTGCCAGTAAGATGGAAATCACCTGAGTTGGACAATTTTATTGCAAGCATAGATTAAAATAACGAATCTATAAAAATATTTTTAACCTAGTAAAGGTGTACAATGTTTCTTTAACAAACACAGAGAAACTCAGCAAGTCTGGCAGCATCTGTGCAGAGAGGAAACAGTCTGATATGACTCTTCTTCAGAATGCCAACTGATATGTTGCATCTCAACCAGTTCTTTAATTATACAATTCATCCCACTCCCCAGCTCCTTCCATAGTCCTAAAATGTTTTATTAGGTATAACCCAATTCTCTTGGAAAGCTTTCACTCAGTGCATTCCAGTTTTCACTAAGTTATTGCGCTTAAAAATATTCCTTGTTTCGCCTATAGACTTTTTGTCAATTATTTTAAATGTGGCACATGTTCTGGTTAGTGATTTCCCTGCCTCCAAAAACTGTTTCCGCTTGTTCATGCATCTAAACTCCCAATATAAGTGAACACCTCTCTTCTCTTTGCCTTCTTTACTCTAAGAATCAGAATTTCAGCTTCTCAGAAAACTCAGACTCCACATTCCTTCTACTTTTCTACTCAATCTCAACTTCAAGGTCCCAATGTGGTTTTCAAAGTGCATCATTCAGAATAGAACACAATATTTTGGCTGAAACTCACTCAATAATTAACGCAATCATTTATAAAGCTTTTGAGTAACTTCTTTGCTTCTTTTATATTTACCAACTGAATCTTAAAACTTCAGACATGATCGTATTCTTAAATCTAAATTAGTGAAGGTTTCTTTGTATATTTATATCAGAAAATTTTTTTTAAAATGATGCTGCTAGATAAAGATAGCTGTATCAAAAGGAAGATAATTTCATATTATACCAGGGAGCCCATTCACCTATACAGACAAAATACTGTTAATAGTTAATAGCTACCAGCCACAATAAAGCACCACGATTAATAGCACCATTCAAAACATGCTAATCACCTCTTGTTATTCTCCCTGTTAAGGATTATTGTTTAGTTAATCACCACTAATCCCTGTTTTAAATTATTAGTCTGATTAATCCTTCAAGAGGTTTTAATTTATAAAGACTAGTTACTTACTGAACTATCTCTGCAATTCAAACCAGTGTTGACAGGCCAATTGTTACATGTGAGGGATTACTCTGCCAAGACAGTGAAGGAAAGGAACCAAATTAAAATTGCTACCTAGTAGACGATCAGAGCAAACACTTGCCCCACTGATGGGATTGAGCAGAACAACGTAGCGCAACATCCAACAGTGTGTGTGTTCTTCAATTTAAACACATTTCATCCTGCTCACTGTATGGTGGACACAGTGGCTCAGTGGTTAGCACTGCTGCCTCATATCACCAGGGACTGAGGTCTGATTCCAGCCTTGTTTGACTGTCTGTATGGAGTGTGAATGTTCTCCCCATGTCTGTGTGGATTCCTGCCCAGTGCTCTGGTTTCCTCCCACAGTCCGAAGACATACACGTGAGGTGGATAAATTTTCCTGTGGTGTCCAGGAATGCGCAGCCATTGGTAAATGTGGGATTAGACGGATGGAGTGGGTCTAGGGGGTATGCTCTTTGGAGAGTCAGTGCACACTTGGTGGGCTGAATAGCCTTTTTCCGCACTACAGGGATTCTAGGTGTGAGAACAGGCACGCAACCAGGATCTGGGATAAAAGGATCAAATGAAGAAGAGTACCTTTGTAATTTTTGCTTGACTAAACATTTTACTGTGTCCAACGACACATCCAAAATCAAAAAAAGGTAAAAGAAGGGGCATTTGAAAAGGTAGATGAAGAGGAAAAGATTGAGAAAGAGCATTTAGTCATGGATAAAATGGAAGAGAAGGAAAACAAGGAATGGGAACAGATTGAAACAATAAGGAAGGAGGAGGGAAGCAAAGGATGAAGTCCAAGGAAAGGGGAAAACACGAGAAAAGGAGGAACATGCGGAACAAGGTTAAAAGGGAAAGAGACATAGAGAATGAGACAAAGGGGAAGAAAAATGAGGAGGAAGATAAGAAAGAAGAAAATACACTTCAGAGCAAGATCTTTTGACCAGTGGTGTCTCCAGTCTATCATGATCTCAAAAGTTGGTGGAGAACGCATGACCTCTGACCATGGAATTCTTACAGCCATTTAATGCTTCAAGGAACATAAATTGGTTGGAGATAGAACTTCTGTCCTTCAATCACTGTAGTACGTTGGAAATTGTACTGCAGAGCTTGTTTACTTAAGTCGACTTTACACTCATCTACCACTAGATGGATTCGGGAAAAAACTAAAGGAATCCTTTGTTTTAACATCACATGTTGTTCAGATTCTGGGTACTTCTTACGAAATATCTTAATGTTTCTCCACACAAATTTCATACTTAGTAGTCTAGTGGCAGCAGTGCTAAGACTTTGATTACAAGCAGCACCAAGATTCTAAGCTCTGGAGTGCAAGATCAGCTAAGTGTGATAAGGCAGGGCATCTCACAGCATGGAGGACAGGTGAGGCCCAGGAGGGTGGAGACAGAGGTTTGAGCATCTTGATGGAGAATCTAGGGAGGGACGGAGCACACATGGGAGGTATAACTTGATGGGGAGAATGCCTGAAGTTGAATGAGCCCCTTGAGTAAAGTGCCCCCACTTCCCTGTCCAAGGCATGAGCAAAATGACGTACTGGGCTTCCCTCATTGCTCTTGGATCAGCCTCAAAACTGGCCACATTAGTGACCTAACTGGGTCAAGACTGAATGGATTTCCTGAGGCCTTGACCCTCACCATGAAACATTCTGGACAGATTGGGGGGATGGAGGGCGTTTGAGGGAGAGTGGCAGGAAGGCCACCTTATAGACCCACCAGGGAACAATACATTTCTGTCCTTGGTGTTTATCATCTGTCGTTCAAGGTATGTGGGCTTCCCTGGCTGGGACAGCATTTATGATTCATAACTAATTGCCCTTAAGAATGTGGTAATGAGCTGCTTTTTTGAATCTTAGCAATCCCTGTAACACTGGTACACTGAAAATGCTGTTGGACTGAGTTCAAAGATTGTGACCCAGTGACAGCGAAGGAATGGCAATATATTTCCAAGACAGGGTTGTGAGTGGCTTAAAACTAAAACTGGCAACTTTTGTTTTCAAACAGTGACATCAATTTCCATTTAGTTCAAAGCTGTCCCATTTTGCCAAGTCTAATAGACGTTCAGGAGCTGGAGCTAAGCTTGAGTTCTGAAAGTTGTTTTGCAGATAATTAGAATTAATTACAAATTGTAATTTATCCTGATCCTGAGGCGGAGAAAGGAAGCACTCACTTTCCAAAAGTCCAGTCAACAACTGAACTGTTCTGCCCAAAAGCAAATTGGCAATGATCCTTATATAATTCCGCTAGAGTTTGTAAGGAAGGAATGCTCCCTTTGTTTTAGTTAACCTTTACTTAGAATTCCTTTCCAATGTCTTTACATTCATCACTTCTAACATTGTGAAATATTCCTGATTCACCCAAGAACTCCACTCATTGTAGAGAGTAGAATGGTTCCGCATATACCCTACATAACTCAAAACACAGATACTTACTGCTGTGATGTACTGGTTCTTTACTGGCTTAGCCCTTTGCAGTCTTGGGGAAGGATTTAGGGAAGCATAATGACAAGATGTCTTAGAGTCAGGATGTGAAGTGTCGTCAGGAAATGTCTCTGAGGAAAGCTGGGACACACAGATGAGAGTTGAGCCACTGACGCTCTCTGCTGAAGTACATTGTGAAGAGGTCTCCGAACTCTCTGTGACTGGGACAAAGAAAAAGTTGGAATCCCATTGGGTTTAATTTTTAGTCTCTAACCAAGTGCTCAAAACAATTTTCAATTACAAAACTGAATCAGTGCAGGACATGGAGAGGTTTCAAGATGGGAACATGACATGAATATAATTTCTTTTGCAGTTGTCAGAAGTTCAATTAAATGCATTTTGTTCAGTTTCTTGTTTTGTATCACCAATTCAAAAAGCAATTGTTATACCCAACAGATCAATAAGGGGATTTTATACTGAAATACAAGATGGATTTTCCACATCACAAGAGTGTCTTTACCGCAAACCTACATCCTCAGATTCGAACATTCTGAGGTCAACAGCAATACTATATAAATGTAAGTCATTCTTTTCTTATTATTTTTACATTAACTACACGCCTACCATAAGTCATCCAGAATTCACAGCATTCATTAATTGTACCCGAGCTGAACAATATTTAGAGAATTGCTTTGATTGACATCCACGAGGAAGGCTAATCCCAATAACTGGGCTGGTTTGAATGAAGCTGAAAGTTAAACAGTTATAATGACTGAGTCTTGACAAGAAACAGACCACGTGTGACTGATGGGGCTGGGGATTCAAGGGCTTAAACAACATGCTTCTGAGATACAAGTTGGAGTTTAATTATTATAATGACACAGGCAGAATTAGCTTGATCCACAATTTCAAACTGAACTGTGACTGACCTGGTTTCCTAGGTCACTAAGTGGCAGTGATGGCTACTGAGTCTAAGACCTTTTGCCACTTAGTTCCTGGATCCTACATACCAGCCTCTTTGTCTAACAATCCCCTTCTCAACTATCCAGTACTGAACCCCAAACCTTCTGAACTCTCTGCCAACCCCAACCTTTCCTATAATGCCTTCAAAATCCTGCGTACATGCCCCTCCCCCACCCTGGCTCCAACCTCCCTGACTTCAAAATAACTCATCTTCCCAAACCTCTGTCAGCCAACTGCCCACTACTGATCTTTCAAGTCTCTAATCTCATCAACAAGCCAACTCCCATTTTCACCCCAGCTCTCACCACTCTCTAGTTCCCAGTACCCCTCTGACTCAAATTCCAGTCCACAACATGGAAAACCCACATTTCTTCAAGCTAGTTTGATAATCTGCTGTTCACAACCATACCCCTAACCCATCTAATTTGTTCCCCTGCTCATTGCAGACTTTGACAATAGAGACTCCTGCTATTTTACTGAAAAATATCAAATATTGAACAATGCAATGCAATGCAATTCCGTGATAAATTAGACTTGACATCTAATATCGATATATGGTCAAATTAAATGTGGACAGGATTTGATGAGATGCCAGAGGTTCAACCAAGCAGAAGATGTGAAACTTGGAAAGACTTACTCATTGATGGTTGACTTCCAGTCTCTTGCTCCACTTCGTCTTCTTCGATGCAGGTTCCAATGTCATAAGACCATTGGTTGAAAGGTGTCCAATGAGGATTGGAATGCGTTGGACTTGAGTACATGTGAAGGTTGAGAGTTCCCAGGATGGAAGAAGATGACTGACTGCTCGAAGAGGAGGTGCTGCTGTTGGAGATGGTCGAATGAGGCCTCTTGAAGGATGTGGAGTGGTCAAACGAAGACACAGCGATGGATGCTCGCGTTCTGGATTCTAATGAGACATGAATTGAAAAATGAGTTTAAAGCCAATACTGTATGTAGCTTTAATGACAGCGGAGACCATGGAACAGGTAACTTTATTTCAGCAAAAGGAAAATCATATCATGAAAATTCCACAATATATAGTCACAAACATGATCAATTTAATGATGAATAATGATTGAACACAGAGGGACAGTAGAAAGCTGGCCAAACTAAAAAGCAGCAAGTTTGGATTTTATTTTTGGACCCAAGCAAGTTTCACATTGAACGAACAAAAAAAAATCTCAATCCCACTGCCAATGAGTTCAAATCGCCAACAGGATGATATTTATTCTGTAAACTCACACCCAACCCAGCCATGAAGTTGAGAAGTGATTTCAAAATATGGGCAGTTTTTCTGGAGCGAACACCATTTTCTCAGGTTCAGGAAATCAATAACAAGGCATCGTTCATTTAGAATTGATCACTGGGGCAAGATATCAGGAGATATCTCCTTTAATGACAAATTGGTGGGAGTGTGGAATACTTCACTAAAGTCAATGTTTGAAACAGAAATCATATCAGATTTTAAAGGGGAAATGGAGGACGATTTGAAGCAATGGAAGAAACTGGGCTACACAGTGACTGTGTTGCTCCAACGAACAGTCAGCACAGTTGTGAATTGCTGAATGGCTTCTTTCAGTGCTGAAGACTTCTTCTGGTTAATGAAAAAGACTATTTTTATTCCTTGTAACTTGGTAACCAATGCAGAACTTTACCCTGCTCATCATGAGGTCACAGTGACAACAATCTGATATTTTCACTTTGTAGCAGCTTACTCTGTTCACTTTTTTAAAGGAATTCATTCACAGGATGTGGGCGTTATTGATTCTGCTAGCATTTGTTGCTCATCCCATGCACTTCATCCATCAATAGGGAGCAGTAAACCTACTCATAAGTCTATCTATCTCTGCCACTGGCCATGAAGAAGAGTCCTGTGTTGCACAAAGGTTACCTTCTTTCCATCTGAGAGACCCCCTCTGCACCTTCCCATGGCAACACAACTGAAGTTATAAATGCAAGACCTGAGTATTATTCGTAATATAGCAGTGGCTGACCATCTGCATTCGTGCTCATTAAGCTGAAAGACGCTACACAAAGAAGGCTGGAGAAAGAACAAACATTTTATACCAGGCTTCATTAGGATCACACCAAGACTCTTGATCTACAGAATCTATGCTGCTCCAGTCAGAAAAGGGGGTCCCATTTAACCTCATTATAAAGCCAAAAGGTTGTGCCCAGTGACTGGACCCAAATATCCATGCACTTGAAAATACTATCAGAAAAGTGATGGGTTAATGGATCATAAGGGGGCATGTCAATTCAGGGAATTGAGAGGCCCTGGACAGTCTCAGCAGCCAGGACTTCTGTATACATTGTCACCATCCTCAGTTTATTGTATCTTGAAGACATCCATATTACAGAAGCCTCAAGTCAGTAATTAATAACAAAGTGGATAAGCATCATCCTGGTTAATTAATACTACTTACCCGTACCCTTCATGATGTAGTCAATTGCCCGGTCACTAATGGCAGCTTCACTGGGCTTGATGTCCATAAAGGGCTTATTCCCTATTCCCATGGATACCATCTCCTGCATTCTCAGCTCTGCAACAAAGTGGACTGATCAATCATCCAGGCAGGAGATTAGTCACCCTTTGAATTTTTATTCTTGGGGTAAGTAAGTGTTGTTGCCACCTTAGTCCTTTCCTAAAATGCAAAGGACTAATCTCTTCCTAATATTTCCACAGAACTGATCATTCGGGCTTTTGAGTACTTGCACATGGTGGGGAAGCATGAGCGGAAGAGAACATTAGTGATAAATCTTCTCATCCTACTTCTATTGCAAATGTTTTAGTGTTTCTCAAATACATCACCCAAATTGGCATTCTACATGTGAGAGGCTGGGATAGATAGTGAGCAGGCTGTTCTGCTACAGTGGTATTACAAACAAACCCAAACCAGCTTCAGCAAGTCTACGAACATGAGAAGTCTCAGAAAGGTCAGAGATTCTGGGTGATGGTCACCTGGTTAGTAGTAAAAGCCTGGTTAAACTGCTTCTCTGTAGGGGAGGGCCTAATAGATGTTAATTAGACAGTAGAGATAACAAGGTGTAGAGCTGGATGAACACAGCAGGCCAAGCAGCATCAGAGGAGCAGGAAGGCTGA